TGCGGAGGGTGCATATACATCAGTAACCGAGCCGTATGTCCAGTGTCGTACAGCCTCCCTTGTGGAGTACTGCGGGATGACTGGCTGTGCCGGGGCCGAGCCCTAAGCTGACTAAGCTGACTACCCTAGTCCCTCGAGACATGTCACCAGGTGAGGTGAGGCGGGTGAGGTGGGGTGAGGCGGGTGAGAGGTGGGTGAGAGGTGGGTGAGAGGTGGGTGAGAGGTGGGTGAGGTGGGGTGAGGTGGGGTGAGGTGGGGTGAGCTGCGGTGTGCTAACCAGATACGCAAATTGGTGGATGTGTTGCTGGAAAATCCAAACAACATCAGGTCTTCATCTTGTTATTCTAACTGCCCAATTGACGATGAATCGCAACTTCTCCTGTCGTGACTCCATTGCGGAGCCAAGCAACCCAACTCGGTCAATCTGCTCTCCTATTCCAACCAAATGGTCGTGAGGCCGCAACGAGTGATGATCGGTGGTGTTGAACAAACCCAGATGACTGATCACAACTCCGCAGCTAACCTTACCTCACGCTATCAATGGTCTCCACAGGAATCGAACAGGAGACCCCTTCTATAACCTGTGATAACGTTGCAAACAACGTATGGACTTTCGACACTAAAACGACACTGATTTCGTACTGTACAACGAACTATATACATGCATGATGAATGCCGAGTCAGCCAATGGCGCAACTACCGCGCCAGGACAAGACCTCACGCGCCCAAGACGCGCTCAGCAATGCACCACCTGCCGACCCACCCTGCATCCCGCAGATCCGTGGAGTCGCAGTGATGGCTCTATCGCCTGCCACCCACCTGCCTAGACAGAACCACCGCTTCAAATACGCCAATGCGCGTTGGTGCTGTTGGTGCTGTCCGTCTTTGTGCGAATCCAACATAGCACTGTCAAATAGCCACTTCGACAGGCCATCCCACCCCACCCCAACCCAACCCAACCCACCCCTATGGTTCAGCATCCGCCACTCAAAAGACCCTGTGGGGCCGCACGCCCAGACGAGGTGCAACGTTAGATGCTGTTCCCCCAATCCCAAACCTCCCCAACGACCGAGTCGTCGGTTCGAGTCCAGAGGAGTGTTTTCTTTTATCTTTTCTTTCCACCTCTCCAGTGGCTTCATCCAGTGGCTGCAGCCCCCGCCACCTCCTGCCTCTGACCTAACCCCCCCTGTTCTTGTTGCTGCTGGCGCTGCTGCTCCGACGCCGTAGCCAGCTCAAACCGCCCCGACGGCACTGCGCCGTCCCCTCCCTCGTCCCCTCCGGTACCCTCCCTCGCCACGTAACGGTACCACAGTCCCGTGTTTGCATCGCCGTACAGCCCCGTCGCCGTATCATGGTAGTACCCCAGCTGGGACGAGTACAGGTAACCGGAATCTGGATCCAGGAAGAAGCCCCCGCGGTCCAGGGGGGGTCCAGAGGAAGCCCTTTCTGCGGGGCCACCGCCGCCATCGCCATCGCCATCGCCACCGCCGGCCGCCGCCGCCGCCGCCGCCGCCGTTACCGTCAGGTCTGTTGCTGCTGCGGTTGCTCGGGATGTTGGGTCTGTCCCTAAAGACGGTGTGGAAGCGGGAACCCCCTCTGCACTGACCTGCAGCTGCAACGGACCACCACCACCACTGCCACCTCTACTGCCACCACTACTGCCGCCCCGGCCCTCGTCGTCATCTTCATCGCCATCCTCGAACATGTCCACATCACCATCCTGAGCTGCGTTGACACTGGCCCCCGAGCCGCCGCCACCAGCGGCAAGGATCTGGTCGCCGTCACCGTCATCGGGCTGGTCGACCGTGCCTGTTACACACATACACACACAGCGGTGGCAGGTAGGCGGAAGCAGGTATGTAGGCTAGGGCGGGACGGCCCTAAGAGCGGCCAGAGGACAACAAGGGCCGTGCCATTGGGCCGGAGTGGGGCAGCGGGCAGGAGGTTCAGCACGAGGGATCACGGATGGAGGGTCCATGCGCCTCTCTCTCCCCCCGAAAAGCGGTCCAGGAGCCCGATTCCTCCTTGACTCGGGGGTGTGACCTCCTAACAGTATCCACGGCATTGAAGTGCTATGAAATGGTTAACATGTACGTCTCCTGTAAGATTCTAGCGGCTTTGGCATGGACAGTCCATTTTTGCCTGGAGGAATGAACTTTTATGGTCGGAACATTATCTATTCTTAATTTTCATCAGAACCAGGAACCATTTCTTATTATTCCGAATTCGGAATATATACTCCACAAAAAAAATGCTGATGGCAACAGCCCGCCAGCTGACCTGTCACTTCATCCGCAGACTGTCGCTTCCGCTTGGCAGTTACGCCTTCCCCACCTTCACCGCCACCGCTGCCGCCGGCAGTCGCGCCGCGGCCTTCGGGCCCCCCGGCGGGTGCGGGCCTCTTAGGGTTTGCCTTCACGGCCGTCGCCGCCTGACCCACGGGTCGGTGCCCGTCCACCGTGAGGCTCCGAACAACGTCCACACCCAAGACGCGCTGGGCCGCGCGCAGCAGCTGTTCGCGTGTGCTGTTGTACACGTCGTACATGCCGGCGGACAGCAGTAGGTTGGCGTAGCTGGTCAGAGCGTCGAACTGGCGCCTGCGGCGTTGGAGTTGGAGTTGGAGTTGGCATTTGCGGAGTGGGCACACATATCTACGTGGTTTTATGTGGAGCCACTCAAAAACAGTGATCCAAGGGTACTTATTTTCTTTTTTTGTTCTGGGGCGAATTCGGCAGCATGACCTAAGCTAGAGCCACTGAGCACACACCGCGCTTCCTTGGCCGCCTCCGATAGCTCCCCAGCTGGCGCACGTCGTCGAGCCGCCGCCGCCGCCGTCGCCTCCGCCACGGACTGCCTGGCAAGCGGTGACGGGGGCGCGTCACCAGGACACGGCTCCGCCGCCACCGCCGCTGCCGCTGCCGCCGCGGCTTCCCCCTCTCCCAGCTCCTCTTTGCGCCCTGTTCCCGCTTCCTCCATCTCCACATCGCCACCGGAAGTGCGGCTCCCACCCTGCTGCCTTCCCGCTGCCTCCACTCCCTCTTGCCCGCCGACCTCCTCCGGCGACCCCCGGCTCGGATCCGCTGCGGCGGCGGCGGCGGGGGCGGCCAGCCCACCTGGTACCGCCTGGCCCGCGGCCTCCGCCTCGTTATCCGGCCGGTCCTGCTGCATCGGCGGCGGCGGCGGCGGCGGCACAGCGGGCATGGTCGCTGCCGTCGGCGAGCCCCCCGCCACCTGCTGCTGCTCCCGCCGCTGCTTACGAAGCCGCTGCCGTTCGCCGCATGACAGGTGCGCCATTGATCCTGCGGTACCGCCGCCGCCGCCGCCGCCCTCGGCACCGCCGGGAGCACCAACGGCTACATGCCCCGTCGCGGTCTTCATTTGTACGTCATCACCTGCAGCAACCTCCGCACCATCAACACCCCCACCAGCACCGCCGCCCCGACCGGCTGCCTCCCCTTTGGAGCCATCGACATCTACTCCACCTGCACCACCAGTACCACCTGCACCACCACCATCGGTCGAGGTTGCGGGTCGCGATCTGGGTTTTCCGGCGGCGGCGCCTCCGCTGGCAGCGGCGGCGGCGGCGGCGGCAGGTTCCTCGTGCATCATCTTGCCCAGCCGCCGCAAGCCGTCCAGCGGCGTCTCCCCGGGCTGCAGCAAATCCGCCACACGCTTCTGATACACCGCCCGCTCGTCCTCGTCCAGTACGGCGCCTATGTCGTCCAGCATGTGCATGTCGTACGGTCCGTCATCGTCATCGTCATCGTCATCCTCGTCCTCAACTTTGGCATCATCTTCAGCATCGGCTTGTGCACTGCCGGTGGCTGCGGCGGCAGTACCGCCTCCGCGCTGCCGCCGGCCCTTCTTCCCCGCCGGCGCGCCGCCGCTCGCAGGTCCCCCCGCTATGCCCCCCGACCCCAGTCCGGCCGCGGCGGCGGCCTTGCGCCTTCGCGCCGCCAACTCCGGATCCGCCCTAACCTGACGATGCTCGTCCTGCATGCAAAACCGTACTTTCCTGTCGTACGCCGTATCACCACACATGGGATTGTAACGAGACGGACGTCCGGCCAAGCCACCCAGATGCGCTGGGAACGCTGCTAGCTACGCCACAGCTCTTATCGCAGTGTCGGGAACGACAACACTCACCACTCACTACTCACCAAGAGACGCCCCTAGCCCAGCTCTACGAGCCAAGTAAAGCGGTGTCAAGCCAAACCGAGGTGCGGCAGGTGCTCCGAAGTACAGCTAGCGCGGGGAACGGGTCCGATCACCACCTCGGGTGATCAGCTCAGGGCCTCAACGCAATAGCGCAATAGCCGCATCACATTATCTGGCAACTTCAGGACGATGTGATGGAGCTGATACGCACATCCGTACGTTCCCCCGTACAGCGCCGTACCGTATCGTACCATAATGCTCTCCAGCCAGGCATCTGTGTCCTCAGCCTCCAGCCGGTACTCCAGGTAGTTGCCCTGGACATACACGGAGTTGGCGGTTAGCGGTTAGCGGCAGTTGCAAGCGTCGGCTGATAACTCCTTATAATAACTCCCTATACACACACACACCTTCCAGAGTGCTGGTGCGCCTGCCCCCTTTCCCCCCCCCCCGCACCCCCCATACCACCCCGGGGTGATACAATCTTGCCATCACACCATCAGCCAGCAGGTCCACGAGCCAGCGCCAGTGTCGTTTCCCCCCCATCTCCCCGGCCACCCATACATGCCCTCTTTCCTGCTGCCCCCTATAAGACAGACGGGCAGACAGGCTTCAGGCTGTCCCCGGGCGAGCTAGCTTCCCCCCCGCCCCACCTCGGCATCGAAGTACCCCGCCTCCCGCTCCGCCCTCAGGTGGAAGGGCTCCATGGGGATACCTTCCTCGTTGTACAGCTGCGAGAGGGGGGGGCGGAGGAGGAGCGGGAGGGGGGTGGGAGGGAGGGGGGTTTAGGACGGACCACTGGCGAATGAAGCAGATACCAGAGATGGACACAGATATAGTCCAGGAGAAGAAGACAAATGCTGCACCAGGAGAATATTTTCACTGACCAGTGATGACTTGACTGGTGGTAGCCTTGGCGGCGACGTGGCCATAGCTAGGTTGCACTAGCTGCCAAGTCCAAAGTCCAAAGAAGGCGGTAAGGCGAAACAGCGGGAGGAAAACTACCTAGCCAAAACTACCTAGCGGGAGGGTGGGGAAGGAGGGAAGGGAGTTCCTGCCTGGGGCCTCTGAAACCGGCCCCAGCGCCCTCACCCAGCGGAACTGCGAGCCGGGCGGGGGAAAGACGAACCACACACGATTGAAGCTGCTGACAGGGCAAGAGAGTAGCAAACGTAAAAACTGACCGAAAGGCGTCCGTGGCGACTGTGACGACTGTGACCTCGGGATGACGAAGTGACGTTGATGTCGGAAATCCTACCTACCTAAGCCGCCAGAATTAAAAAGCTGAATAGTATAGCCAAACCGTAAAGAAGTAGGTGTAAAAAAGTAGTGAAGGCGGCGAGTAAAATAGTGCTGTCGTAAAGGTGGCCTAAAGTTGCTGGCCGGGCGGGGGGAGGACTCTCCCTGCAGCAGCCAGGCGGCTAGGAGGGCAAGCGGCCGGGCTGCTAGGAGAGGTGCGGGGCGCCAAGACTGTGGTCGCGGAGCAGGTAGACCCCAGGTCTCCGACTCAGCTCGCGATCACGCACAAGGAACCGATCCTCCCCACTTCACTTATTGCTCTGCACAACCCCCCTCCTTACTCCCCCCCTTTCCTTTCCCCCTTCCTTCACCCCCCTCACCTCCTCCGGCTCGTCGTAGTCCTCCTCGGCCGCCGCCAGGTCGTCCGGCATGGAGGTGTCCTCCAGCAGCTGCATCCGGCTGGCCTCTGCGCGGAATCGGGCGCGGCGGGTGGCGGCCAGGGCGGGGTCCAGAGAGCGGATGGGGCCTGGGGGGGCGTCACGTCGCGGCCGCACAGGGAGGAGGGGAACTGATTGGAGAGCGGGTGCGGGAGAAGGACGTGAGCGCGGGGAAAAGCCCGTGCATGTGCATGTGCATGTGCATGTGCATGTGCACAAAGGGGAAGAATTGGAAGATATATGTTATAATCCAAGGATAACGGCTAAGGATGTGGCTAAGGAGAACGTGGAAATGAGTGCATTCCATATGCAATATGGGCGACGCTTCCTTCGTTTGATTTGAGCAGCGAAACTGAGCTCGGCGGGTCAACCAGGCGTCATGAGGGGGAGGGAGAGGGAGAGGTGGTTGTATTCTGAATACAGTGTGGTTTATGTGGCAGGACAACTGGCGGATGGCGGCAGTTCCCGGAAGGATTCGAACTTCGATCGTCGGGAGGGGGCTGTCGGGAGGCAGGGACCGTGCGTGAGGGACCATGCGCATGAACACAAAATATCAGCTGGTGATGTCCAAGGGTTTAGGGGGATGGATCATCTGCTGTGGGCTCCAGGGGGCTCCAGGGGAGGTTTCGGGTGTTGGGGGGAAACGTACCTTCCGGCTCGGAAGGCATCTCCTTGTCCGTTGCCGCACGGCGTGCCCTGGCGGCTCCATCTACGGGGATACGGAAGAGAGGACTACTGAGGAGAATGGACAGGGAGCAAAAGAGGTTGGGGAAGCCAACGACTAGGGCATCCAGGTTTGCGTGAGATGCGAGTGGCTTTGGAAGCAGCGGTATTGGGGATAACGGAGCCAGCTGAAAGGGTGGCATTTCACTGGTCTCTATGCTGGTCGGCAGCTTGGCGGGTCTTTGAACGGCAGCAAAGGGCAGGGTGTGGCGCAGAGTTTTGACGGGAGGATTGGGAGGTGAGATAGATAGGCTTAGAATAGCGGAGATGCATCCGGCAGAGCTGATGACCGCATCTCAGGGGGTTGACGATGCACGCGAGGTGGGTTTGCTCGCTTGGGTAAGCGAGTAGACGAGCCACGATGCGCGGCGAATGATGATGAATTGCGGTCCCGAGTTTTGGCTCGGGAACATGAAATTATTGTTTCGTCCTCAATGATAAGGCAGGCGGCCCTAAGGTTACGTGGCCATGTTTACCTTCCCCGGGAAGAATGGTTTGCCGTCGACGCTCTGCAGGGCCTATCTCCTCCTCTGTAATATGCACCTCTAATATTTCATCACTATTTGCAAAGCGGACGCGCCTGTCGTGGTTGCCCTGCCTACCGGCATCACCCGTGGGCCTGGGGTCACTCGTAACCATGTCGACAACCTAGATGAAGCATACAGCAGCAAAAAAGTTACAACTTCAGTAGGCTAAGCATACGTGCGGAAGTCCGATACACTTCGCAATCCTGGTCTCGGAGCGCTTTGACAGTTAAGAAACAAGGAGCGTACGTGGAAAATGCTAGCTTGGACTTAGCTTTTACTTTTGGTTTTGAAATTGACGTTGATTAGGCAACTGCCTTAACAAGGTCCATCCTCTTATCTGTATGAAAGCTTCTCCCAGATCTTGGCGCTCCTTGCCGCTCCTGGCCGGAACATCCCCTCGGCTTAATTTCTTTTACCTGTGGCCCTGAGCTTAGGATTTACCAACTGACGAAATGCCTGGTACACCCAACGTCTTGGAACTCGTACATAGGTGCGTATGTCGATGCAGAAAGAGTCCCACCACCAGGGGTTTCGTGCGTGCACCAATATGTTTTGGCACTATTCAATCACATTGGAGCTCTGGCGTTGAATTGATCTCGGCAGGCGGGTTGTCAATCGTGTGGTGGGCGCAAACCAGGGTCCCCTACGTGGCCCATCCCCTTAACCTATCACCACGCCACAACTCCATCACCTTACAACCTGCGCTTTTCTCTTGCTCCAAACCGCACCGCGCCATGTTTCGAGGCGTTCCGTGCGTGGTCCCCAATTTCCTGATACCCAACCAGCTTTCCCCAGCCCCTTGAGTCAGCCAGCATTCTTGTAGCCAGTCTCGCCTTGACCCAAATAGACGCCCTTACTCCCGTCCAGACCGTCAGCTCATCACCAATAGCACCACCGCCACCACTTCTGTCGCCGCCACACCACCACTACGAGACCCGTAGCAGGCCTGCCCAACACCTCCTCCCACGTACCTTGACCCGACCAGACACAGTCCATATCCCTCTCCCCTCCTTGTACTCCTCATTGTGTTGTTGCCCGTACCGGTCTGGACGGTCTCAGGTCTTGCTCTGAGGTGACAGGGCTACATGTAGAGCACGTACGGATTGACGACATAGCGGTTTCGGAGCTGGCGGCGGAACTAGTCGCAGCTGCGGATGACGTGCGTGGTGCCGTACGAGGGCTACCGCTGCCCATCAAGTTCAGCAGCGTTGAGCAGGAGGTGCGACAGAGGGGGCCCGGCAGGGTGGCCTGGGCTGGGCTGAGCCAGACGGCAGGAGGAGGCATTCTTACGGGGTTGGTAGTGTTAGGACAGATGATTGAATATCTGCCCTACCAGTACCAACCCGCTGGATGGAGGATGGCAGGATAGGTACTAGTCCATAGAGGAACCTTAAGAGTACCTACGTCTCCGCCCCCACGACTGCCGCCCTCAGCTGTCCTCTACACCAGTATGGTGGACAGCTCGGTGGACTTGGTAGCGGGGCGCCCCCAGCGGGGTGGTGAGGTGGTCCATGTGCATCGTGAGTTGAGGATGTGGTGCTGGTGGCGGTGATGTGTGCGCGGAGGGAGGGTCTGTGCCGCCACAGGCCCCCAGTCGCAGGTGATGGTGTCGGGGGGGGTACGGCTTTTTCCCTTTTCCCCTTCCCCTCCACTCAACTTGGCGACTGTTTGGCCTTCTATGTCTCCCCCGTCCTGCTTCCCCCCTATCCCACCCTACCCCACCCGCCCGACTGCTGTTTTCGGCTCTGATTGCAGCTAACTCTCCTGGCGTTGTACCACCTGCTGGATTTTGGATCCGGGTACGACAAGCAGCTGCAGCGGCTTCCCGGCGGTCGCGATGCTCGTGAGACTTTGTTGTACGGCCTCATCGGATTGCACCTTGGAGGCACTCGACTGGACCACCACAAACTCAAGTGAGGGGGCCTTATGGGTTAGGGACCGGTCTGGCTGTTAGAAGGGGGAGAATGGAGGTGCAATCGCTGAGAGTTCGTTAGTGGGTTATAAGTGTCCTGTGAACCACCCCACCCTACCATACCCACTCCTAACCTACCTACCTAACCTGTGTCCAAAGGACCTCCGTTATAGAGAGGGGGAGGAGGAGCGAGGAGGGGGGGGGATGAAAAGGGCTCCCAAGGCAACGAACTTCATTGCCGCCTAACTAAGGCGAGTAAATTGCATTACAAAATATATCTCATTGTTTAAAGAGTAACGCCGATGGCTTTAGCCAGCCTGCCTGGAAAGGCACACTGTGAGCTGGTACGGCTAAGTACACCTCGCAACCGCCATCGACCCCGCGGGGGGCTAACAATTCCCCGCCTCCGCCTCCACCGCTACCGCCAGGTCGTTCTCCATGTACGACATCCACCAGGTGTTTGGCATCGATGCGACGACGGAAGTGGCCGTCATGCCGGGCGTCACCATGTCCAAGCCGGTAGGTTGGTCGGGTCGGGTCCGTCGTCGGGTCCGTACGAGGGCCTCAGCCGGCTTTGACCAGCTTTGAACCTAGCCGGGTGGTGGTGCTGGTGGGGCGGTGGTGGCGGCCAGGGAGTGAGCGCTACCTTCGACCAGTCGGTGGCGCGGGCTGGCGGAACCTAGACGCCCCCCAACTACCGTGACTACCCCATCCCAAACGATGCCGCTCCCGCGCAACCTACACGTACTGCCGTCATCTGGTCGGGGGTGCGAGACGTCTTGGGAGACCGGTAGGGAGTCCTGCTCGGGTTTCGTTGCGTCCGCAGCACCCGCCTTCTCCTCTCCCGGCCTCGTATGCTGCACCATTTCCTTACCCCTTCCTGAACCCATTATGCTTGTCCTCCGCCTTGTTCCTCGCCTTCTCCTTGTTGTTGTTGTTGTTGTTATTGCATTCCTAAGGTGCCCCTTCCCGCCCTCCCCTTCCTTCCCCTCCCCCTGGTTCGGTCTGGTATCATCGTCACCTTAGCCATTCGCTTGCCGACTCCCGCCCTCCCCTAACCAACAGTTCCAATATGATCTCCATCCATCGCATCCCCGTGTTTCCCGGCCCCTCAGGGCCCCCTCCAGCCGCTGTGCAAGCTGATGGTGGCCGTGCTCAATGAGACGGGGAGTATCCTGGCGGATCAGGGGGTCAAGACTCCAGGGGAGCTGCTCATATCGGTGGCGGAGGGGCTCAAGAAGGCGGGGTAGGTGGGTGGGTGAGCGGGAGGGGGGTGGGCAAAGGCAACGAGTGTTGGGAGGGGGTCTGGTTGGTGGATTACCGTGGGCCCACTACCACAATCTCCAGCACTACATGGTAGAGGCTGGTCGTCTGCCTTGGCAGTGCTGTTGACGCCTTTCCCTTCCCCGTTGCTTTTGTTGCGCTGCCAAACGTAGCACTTCCTGTCGTGAACCTAGCCGCCTGCCCTGCCCTGCAGCCGCACGACAGCCAGCGCTTTCGTAGAAGAGCTGGTCGACACGCTGCCCGCTTTCAGGGATGTCGTACTGTACGATGGCCGTACACTGACGCTGCACCGGAAGGCCCAGAACCTGGCTGCTGATCTGGCCGTTGTGCACGGCAGTCGGGACGAGCGATTTCTCTTTCCAGATGTGGACCAGTTGACGGCGGACTCCGGTGCGAACCGACGGGGGTTGCAGGCGGCTTTGCGAAGTCGGGATTTGTGTGTGGGATTTCCATTTCGGTGGGATCCTAAGGTTGAAATCAAGGACGTTCGGGAAGGGCGGGTGTTTGTCATGCATGGTTGGAAATTGCATTGGGGATTACGGAGTTTTGGGGCTGGAGTTTGACATTCATGGTTTCTAGCTTGCATCGCGTTAAATCACAGGACAGTTCATGTACGACACACCCTGCGGCTGGCCCCCTCCACCATCCCCAGGTGGCACCACAATCGCTGTCCTCAGAGCCAAGGGCGTACTGCGCCTATCTGAGGAACTTACTGCGATCTTGGACAGCGGCGCCGAGCTGCCGGCGGGGCCGCACGAGCGGGCGCTGCGCGCTGCGGCCGTCACGGCCTGTGACCGCCTTGTCACCGCGGCGGCGGCGGCGGTGCGGACAGGTGAGGCGACGGCGTCGTCAGGAGCAGCTGACGAGGGGGCAACGGCGGCGCCTGCCACGGAGGGGGCTGGGCAGGAGCCTGAGGCTGCTTCGACAGCACCGCCAGCTACCGCTGCAACGGCACAACGCGGAGTCCAACATGAACGCGGGAGCAATGCCGGCAAGGGGGACAGCGGCAGCGCGTGCTTGCGAGCGGTGGATGTGGGGGCATACCTATCGTACCTAGCTGAGGAAGGCCGGGAGCTGCATGGCAAGATAACGAAGCATGTAACCACGGGCATTACAGCGTACTAGCGGGCATGAGAACCCGACGGAGCTGCCGTGGGGGCTGTGGCGGGTGTCTGCCTTTCTGGTGGAGTTGTTGGTCTGGTTGCTCGTTGCGAACGGGTGGAGTCCGGGATGGTGTGTAGGCCCCGTCACGGCACATCGGTTCATTAGAGTTTGGAGTTGAGGAATACGTGTCGATATGTGTCCTGTGCTTTTCCATTCATTCCTCGTGCAATGCTGGTACTTCCTGGTTGAAGGCGCCGGCTTCGGCTGAGAGGGTCACTTCATTCCAGCCGCGTAAACCCATCTAGGTCACGGCATGTATTATAATTGTGTGCATGGATCGGAGCTGTTGGCTGTTGTAAAGATCCGCTGCCATGGCTGACGCAAAGGACGGAGCTGATGACGCTGATACCACTCGATTGACAAGGTGAAGCGTGTCCCCCTGCGCATCCGTCCATGGAAGCGGTTGTCGCTGAAGATTGGCACCGGGGCAACCTAAACTCCTAGGAGGCACTGCCACGTGTCACGGCTGCAATCGTACGTTGAGCGCTCAAGCCCGCTGCACACCTTTACTTGCATCTAAAATCGGGAACCAGGCGGCAAACTCTCCGCAAATTCAAACAGACGTGGAGCCAAGCTGCGTTACAAGCCCGAAGTCATACCCTCCGCTTCATATTCCGCGCAACGGCGGCTCCTGCTTGTGACCTAGCAAAGTCTTCTCTGGCCCGTTGTGCCGTAGTGAATCGGGGCGGGTAAAAGTCAGCACGGTCGGGAAAACAACCCGCACAAACCCCGCCTTAGTTACTTCCGCTAGACTGGCTCGCGATCCAACAGCCACGACCACACAAAATCATCCCCTGGATGCCACATGCACCGCCTGGGTCAGGCGCTGCTTCGTTATGGACTCGTCCCTCCCAGTGGTTACTTAGAGAAATTCACGCCCCGTAAACCATGCACGCGCTGAGTGCGCCAGTCGCCGCCTGGAAAAAGGTGACAGGGCAAGCCCAGGTGCATAATGGATCCTAAACCAACCCCTTGATACCCCCCTCATGTGCCTGCTTGACCCTGGACAAGCTGCGGCCGCCCGGCATATGGCGTAAGGTCCAAGACTCCACCGCAACTCAAAGCAGAATCCTAGCAGAATCCAGTTCATAACAGTTGTTTCAGCTCAATTACTGTGCCTCAACCTTCGTAACCATGAACTTGGACAGCTCCTGCCTGTGGCCCTGCTTGCGCCGGTAGTGCTTCTTCGGCCGCATCTTGTAAACAATGATCTTTGGCCCACGCAGCTCCTCAATAATCTCTGCCTCCACGTTCACATTGCTGAGGTAAGGCTTGCCGACGGTGAGCTTGCCGTCATGCTTAAGGGCAAGCACGCGGCCGAACTGAATCTTTGAGCCCACATCCGCCTTAAGCCGATTGCAAGTATACCACTTGCCGGGCTCCACAAACATCTGGGTGCCGCCAATCTCAACGATGGCGTAGGTCGCCGGGGGAGCGATGCTCAATGGCGACGGGTGCACCTTTTGTGGCTTCTCAGCGACCTCCGCAGCCGCAGCTTGGCAAACGATATGCTGAACTTGACGGCTGGAGGACGGGATGGCACATGTAACACGAGCCTTGGCCGCCACGCAAACGCGGCTGGTGAAAGGGACGGGCCTGCTTGTGGTGGCAGTTCCCGCCTTGCGGGACAAGACGTTTGCCAGAGCCATTTCTCTATTAAAATTAAACGGAATGACCCTGAAACTAAGGCTCTGTAAACTGAACTGACCAACCTCCCAGCTCACAAGCTTCACAGCGCGCAAGGCCCACTTCGTACGCCCCTCACTCATCGCCTTCGCGTTGTTGCCCAAATTGGCACAGAATTGCGCAATTCGGTTGCATTGGAACCCACTGTAAACCTTGGATGATAATTGCTCGCGTTGCTTCATCACCTTGTACACTTCACTCCGAGCGTAATCCCCAGACAGCTCCTAGCTTCCCAGGACATCCATACCGACGAGTAACCGTGTTAAATTTAAATCATAGAGATTGTTTGTCTGCGCCATCAGCCGATCTTGGCCCGGGTCGTGACTGCAATTGTGACAGTGCTCGCCTCGCGAACCCCCCCAAGCCGCCTCCTTTGGGACACAGTCGGAACTGACGCTGCGGACGCAGATCACTTCTTGATTATTAGCAGTCATGGTTTCAAAAGCCCAGACCAACGGGCACGCAAAGCCGGCACCCGTGCCGGTCCTTACACATGTCGCGCCTAGCGTGCCTCCGCCGGCTGGCGTTCGCCTTTACTCAGACGGTACGCTCATCCCCGCTTACTCTCTCGGCTCTAGCTTTGTGTTTCCACTGTTGCCCTCGATCCATCTAGCTGCTGCATAAGGTGCATGCCCGATCGACACGGTCCCTGTTAAGAGTTCATCTGTAACGACCCCAGCTTGCCGTACCCATGATCTGAAAACTGTTCATTGCGCAACATAACCCATGCGACTCTAAGGTCCCCTGGACGTCGCAACAGTGGCCAACTCCCTTTTTGCACCGCCGCTCCACCCATCCCTATCCTCCCTTGATCAATCGCACCTGCTGCTGCATCCAGGCCCTCTTCCACAACCTGATAGTCAAAGTGTCAAAGGGCTTCTTCGCCTTTTCATGGCTTAACCGCCTCTCTGCGACTCTTATCTAATTTGGTCAGCACGGCTGAGCCCCAATTTGGTCAGCACGGCTGAGCCCCAATTTGGTTAGCACGGCTGAGCCCCAATTTGGTTAGCACGGCTGAGCCCCAATACGCACCTGTACATGTAGAACGGGACACACAGAAGACACAATTAGCTGATTACGGCCCCACCAGAGCAGGTTACCCGCGAAAACAACTGAGCAGCAGCAGGCAGCGGTCAAACTGCCTTTGAGTCCAGCTAAACTTCCGTGCCCTGGAGCAACACTGCTGCTGCTTCTGATGCAACTCAGTATCGGACGTTGCACAACCACCATGTCTTGTGTGTACTTGCTATCAGCCATCTGCTATCTGCTGAACCCACTCCGGCAGCGGCCGCGACGTAATCCGAGTGTCGTATCATACATATATATACACACACACGCATACGCACACACACGTACTTCTGCTGCCCTTCCCCTTTCCCCCGTGTTGGCGTCCTGGGGTGTCTGAGCCTGGCCCCTTGCGTTCCGGGCGCGCGGACTGATGTTTTGTGGGACTGACCTGGTGGCCCTAGGATGAGGCCTTTGGATAACTTTTTTCCTTTTCCGGCCCCGGTTCCTCCCGGGGCCAGAGACGTCCCCTGAATCCAAAAGAAGCCGCCAAGTAATCCCCGGTTCGATGTCCCTTAGAGCCGTACCTGCTCGTCTACCAGCCTGGGCTCGCCCCCCCTCGGAACCCGCCGCTCCGCCCCTCTGTTCGTTCGGCTGGAGTCAAGCCCTGTTTCCCCCCTGGAGTCAAGCCGCCTCATAGTCCCTGAGGCGCTATCCGCCCCGTATCATCTACTAGTTTTAGTGCTTTGGGCGTCGGCGGTACAAGACCTCCCACCTGCATTGATACTGTTTATTACGCGCACGCACCCGGGTCCGCACCTGGGTCCGCACCTGCACGTGTGCTGCTACACAGGGCCATAACTTCCCCCACCACTACCACCAACACCAACACCACCATCTGGGTCGGTTTGTCTTTTTCTTTGAGACCCCTTCTGGTCCCCGCTTCCTTACGTACCCTCCCTCACCTCTCCCCTCACCTCTCCCAGCAGCTTCACTCGTTCGTGGTTCGTCTTTCCTCACACCTCACCTCTCACCTCACCTCTCCCCTCACCTCTCCCCTCACCAAGGAATCAAGCCCGACCAGAAGCAGAACGTGTTTGTGATGCTGCTGGCGGGCATCACCTTGTCCATCTACGTGGGCTTCATGAACTACTTTCTGATGATGATGATTGCGTCGTACTGGAGCGTCACTGCGCGGTACCTGGTGATTGCGCTGCTGAGCACGCTGGCGCTGCCGTGCAAGCCGGTGCTGTGGCCCGCATTCAACCGGCTGTGGATCTTCAAGACGTGGCGCCACTACTTCCACTTCAGGTGCCGTCCCGCGGGTCGGTATCCACTTAGGGCTTCTTCCTTCCCTGGAGGGGGCTACGATGTGCCGCTGTTGCGGCTGCGGCTGCGGCTGCGACCACTGGGCAGGAGAAGGGGGGCTGGAAGGAGAACAACAACAAGAAAAAGAGGAGGAAGAAGAAGGGTTGCTTTATGGATGATGGGGCCCTCAACCTAATTTTAACCCCTAAGTTTCCAAGCGGTTGGAGTTGGTGGCTCGCGCCGGTCGTTGGGGACGTTTTTGCCGTTAGTCAGTTGTTTACAGCGAATAATGTCACCAGCCGCTGATCCGCATGTAGCCGCCCGAAGAGAGAAAGGGAGGGAGAGAGGGAGAGGAAGGAGCTATGGGAGGTATACTTCCTCCTGGGTGGTAATCCTCCGTGCCCCCGCGCCTCCTCCCCTCCCCCTCGCCCTCTACGACTGGTACACTCTTGCCCTGGCAGCACCTTCACTCGTTTGTGGTTCGTCTTTCCCCCTCGCCCCACCTCGCTAGTGATTCGCCTTCCCCCCTCAACCCACCTGCCCGCGCCCTTCCCCTCCAGCTTCCTGGTTGAGGAGAGTCTGGATGCCAAGAAGCGCTACATCATTGTCGAGTGAGTCGCGGCACCTACGACCTGTCGCGTCCATGACTACTATACCGTACTGTACTGTACTGTACTGTACTGCGGTACATTGGGCTCACCTCGGCCCCTGCTGACCTGGCCATGTACGCCTTTCTTGACTTGGCCCTGCACGCGAGTCTCGCCATCTGCCTCGTAATGAGGTGTAAGGTGCCGATGTGTGTGTGTTTGCGTTTGTGTGTGATGGGGCCGGCACTTGTTGGGGTGGGGGGCATATGGGGGGAAGGTGGAGAGCACTCCAGGAACCGCGTGCCGCCTCGTGCCGCGTGTCGGCTTGCCGGGTTGCGGGCGTTGAAGGCGGAATGAGGACCACCTCTCACCCCACCGCCGGGGCCCCCTGTCCGGTCCGGTCGGGCAAGCAGTTCCCCCTGTGTGCGCGGGCTGTCCAGTCCCCCGTTCAACTAAACACCAACTAACCAACGGACAACAGCTCAACGAAACCGGGCCCCGTGTCCCCCCTTTCCCCTCTTCCCTCCTCCGTGGCTGCCCCCGACCTGCCGTACTGCCGCTAAACCCCTTCTCCGCAGGTTCCCACACGGCGCCTTTCCAATAGGTGAGCAGGCTGGGTGGGGAGGGGAAGGTGTTAAAGGGGGAGGGAGGGAGGGACGGGGAGGGAGGGACGGGGAGGGAGGGCGGGGAAAGAGGAATCAGAAAGGTGAGGTTGCCGGGTAGATGCGGTGGGGAGGAGTAATACCATGATGGTGCGGGGAGTACCGGGGAGTACCGGCCGGGCTGCCACACACACACACACACACAAACACACGTAGGCGGGGGTATGGGGGGGGGAAACAGCAATCTACCGCTGGGTCCTATGGTGGCCCCCAGTTGCCATTGCCAGTAGAGTCGCGATTGGGTCACTAAATCTTGAGGACCATTGTGCGGCGGATGATGGCGGGTAAGTCCCTACAGTTGTGGGCTCTGATGGCGTGGTGGTTATTCTGTTGGACCGTGAGGAGGGGTCTCCCCTCAGCTCGTGAAGCGGGGGGAGGACCGTCATCGCCGTCCAGCCCCCTCCGTCCCCCTCCTTCGCCTCGCCCTCTTTCCCGTTAGCAAACATCCGCCCCCCACCTCCCCTCCCCTCCCCTTTCCTCCCCGGCCCGAATCCCCGCATCCCTTTCTTAACACACAGGCCCCGTGGTCGCCGGCACTCTGATGCAGACGCTCTTTCCGGAGCTCCGAATTTACAGTGTGGCCGCGTCGGTTGTGTTTTACATCCCCTTCTGGCGGCACTTCATCACGTAAGGGCGCTATTAGGGCCGGGGGGAAGGGAGGAGGCGAGCTGGGCCGAAGGGGGGTGGCCCCCGGGATGTTGTTGCTGTCACGTGGAACCGTCCGGTACCGTGTTGTCCGTGTTGCCCGGGATGGGCTGGGATGGCTGGGGGCTGTGCTGGGGGCTGTGCTGGGGGCTGTGCGGCAACACTGTTCGTGAGCGGATGTGAGGCGTTGTGTGCTGCACCTGGTCCCTCATCGGCGCGGAGTTGGCGTCCATGTTGCATGCCATTGGATTGCATTGCATTGCACGACCTGTGCTGCCACCACTTTTCCCGCCGTCGGCCCCCTTTTGTTTGATCCGTGACGGCCAACAGCAAACGTTCGTTCCTCCTCGTGTACGCCTCCGCCTCATCCACCCTCTCCCCCCCGTCCCCTCCCCCTCCTCCTCTCCCCCCCGTCTCCCCTCCTCGCCCCTGGTCGGTCAGGTGGATTGGCTCAGTTCCCGCCACCTCTCAGAACTTCAAGCGGCTTCTGAAGAAGGGCAGTGTGGCGGTGGTGGTGGGCGGCATTGCGGAGGTGTGTGCGTGTGTGTGTGCGTGGGGGGAGGGGGAATGGGTCCCGCTGCCGCCCTGGGGCCTGGCGGCGCAGGGGGGGGAAATCGGAGGGAGGGAGTACAGCTGAAGGGCTCATCGGTGAGTCCGGTGAGCTGTCTCTCGGGACCTCTCCCGCAGTCCGATGGAGAGGTGGAGGGGGGGCGTGGAAGGAGGCACTGAAGGGGCAGTTAAATCGGCCTCCCTGGGGGCTATTCCAACCTGGGGGGTGCTATACCCCCGGCTCCATCCCCCCCCGCCGCCCCTTGCTTACCTCCGCCTCTGTCCGCGTGGACGTAACCCTAACCGCCCCCTCCCCCCCTTCCCCCGGGTTTTCTAATTTCCCCGCCTATGAGAATCCCTCCCTCTGCCCCCCCCCGGGTATGATGTTACTGGATGTTCCAGATGTACATGGGTCACCCGCTCCGGGAGCGAGTGAAGCTGAAGGGGCGGCGGGGGTTCGCCAAGATCGCCCTGGAGGAGCAGGTGGACGGTATTGTGCCCGTGTACTACTTCGGGAACAGCCAGGTGGGTGTGGGGTGGGGGGGAGGGAGGGGAGGGGAGGGGAGGGAGACGGAGGAAGACGGAGGGGGGGAGGGAGGAGGGCTGCTTACCTATGTACCCTGGTTAACTACCTACCTGGCTGGTTGGCTGGAGGCTACTTGGCCGCCCGGTGGTTCTCCCGGCGCCTTTCCTTTTACGTGGCTATAACTGCCTTTCCCCCTTGTTTGTACATCTCACCACACGTCAGCTCTCCCTCTCCCCTCCCTCTCCCTCACCCTCTCCCCCCCTCACCCTGGCTGATCCTGAAGTAGTACACGGGCACAATACCGTCCAC